GTAGAATTATAAGGAAATCGGTGGAATTCTTTGACCTGCACAATGAGGCCGCGCCACGAAAAGCTTCAATAACACCTCCGCTGTGACCTGTCTCTGCTTCGTAGGTTCTCTGCCGTCCTCCTCTGCGGTTCTAACTCTGTGCGTTTATCATTTGTCTCTTGCAGTAGAAGGCCTGCGTCACGTTCTGCTCGCGCTGCGCACTTCTATACAAGTGACAACAACTCATCTGATTTTAATCTGTCGCCTCTTTCTTGCTCATCCCGTTATGACGCATGGTTCCCGGCCTGTGAAATATAAACGCATTGCGTCCTTGTCTTTCCGCAGCTCTGCATGCCTAAAGGGCTTTTCTTCAAGACTCAGGCCGACTGCCGAGACCCCCAATTTCACTCTTTCATCATCACGCGGGAAGACGGGTCGCGGACGTTCGGGTTCTCCCTCACCTTCTTCGAGGAGGTCACCAGCAAGCAGATCTGCAGCGCCATGCAGACCCTGTACCACATGCACAATGCGGAGTACGACATCATCCACACATCCGCCACCAACGGCGGCACGAACTGCACGCAGGAATGCACCGACTCCTCCGTGAGCAAGCTGCAGAGGTTCAATTCCTACGACATCTCCCGGGACACTCTCTACGTCTCCAAGTGCATCTGCCTCATCACCCCCATGTCCTTCATGACGGCCTGCAAGAAGGTCCTCCAGCAGCTGCACCAGGCCGTCACGTCTCCGCAGCCCCCGCCGCTGCCGCTGGAGAGCTATATCTACAACCTCCTCTACGAGGTGCCTCTGCCTCCCGCTGGGAGGTCCCTAAAGTTTGCAGGAGTCTATGGGCCAATCATATGTCAGAGGCCGAGTACCAACGAGTTGCCGCTCTTTGACTTTCCGGTGAAGGAAGTGTTTGAGTTGCTTGGAGTGGAGAATGTTGTACAACTCTTCACCTGCGCCCTGCTGGAGTTCCAGATCCTCCTCTACTCGAAGCGTAAGTATCCAGGGACCCCCCTCCCCCCCCTCCGTCCCAATGATGGGAGTTCAGGGGTCCGCAGAGAAGGTGCCGTTCATCCTCCATCACACAAAGACATTGTAGACCATTGGGCACTTCCAGCCTTGTGGTCACGGTTTGGTGAAGACCCTTTTCTGTTCCACCCCCATGACTGTCCCCTGTGTACAAAGCAGTCTGATGGTGAGGGGGGAACCTTCCAAAGGGGGACACTTTTTCCGGGGACAGATCTCCTCTTACTTCCAGTTGTGTCTTCAGGCCAGCTCATAAAGATATGGCTGTAGATCCAAAAGAAAGAACCCGACGGCACACCGCAAGATATTCCCAGGCTGGGCTTTGTGTTGACTCTATCTCCTCTAATGCGCTTCACCCGAAACTGCGCCGCTCGCCCGTGGAGGGTCTCCATGGTTACGCCCAGTTTTGGGTGAAATGCGTCAGTGGAGAAGGTCCCGGGCTGAGCTTCCTGTTGCTTGTATAGTATAATGAAGGTTCGCCTGTGTTGGATCTTACGATGTGCTGCCAGGTTCTCTCTTTGGGGTTTGCCGGCAGTTAGGGGTGAGGACAAGCCCCTGTTTGGGTTCAGCACCTGGACAGCCATGGTGGTTACCCCAATATGGAGGACCTGAGAGCGCTGTATGACTTTTTTGTCCCTCATGAAGACAATGCTTTGACCAGTTTGGTTTGGAGGAACTCGAGTTTCCTGTACGGACCCCTGAGTAAAGAATGGGCTCCAGGTTCAGGTAACCGGATTTACTCTCCCTACCGCCCCAAGGCCAGGTTCTGTGATGTGCCCGCCGCCTCTTATTATTGTTTATTTCACTTTTTTTTTTAATCAATTAAATTTCTTTTCACCTAACTTTATTGCTATCACACAGGATAAAACAACCCCCCTGTGTGATAGCAATTGGAGGTGACAGGTTCTCTTTATTGACTCTGTCACCTCTGATACAGGGGCTCTAGCGCAGCGCTGTTGCTGGAACTCCTGTGACGGGTGAGAGAGGAAGAGCACGGCACGGCACAGCACGGCACGGCACAGCTCTCCCCTCTCCCCTCTCACTGTATACACGGAGCGGCGGGGTTACTTATAACACGGCCGCTCTGCTCACTGCAGTGAGAGACTCGGCGGCGGAGGACGGAACCAGAGGAGAGAGGTAAGTGCAGGGGGGAGGGGAGGACGGACGGACCGGCTGCACACTTGTTTACATGTAAACAAACAATCGGCTGCCTCACTCTACATTTAGCTCGGCTTGTACAAAGCAGGACTGAATGTAGAGAGGGCAACTTCCCCACAAGGACAACGCCGCCGCCCCTCTGCGCCCTGCCGCCCCGAGGCCGGGCCTCTGTGGCCTTGTGGGGAATCCGGGCCTGCATTCATGTGCAGGTTCAAGGCATCCCGCCCGACATGTTATTTAAAGGAATTTTTAATGTTGCCCTCGAAGCCTTATCATAAGGCCCTCCACCCGCTTGAATATATTTCTTCATTTTTGGGCACTGGTGACCATTGCCACCGTGACAGGAAGTTGTGGGGTACCCAAAATGTTACAGTTGTCACCAGAACAGGAAATCTGCCATTGGTGGGCACCTGCGCTTGAGATTTCACTTCCTGTTCAGTCACTGGGGCAGGAAGTGAAAGGAAATCTCCCCCCCCCGATGGGGCAAAAAGGCGACAAAAGCTCCAGACAAACGTTGTAACTCTTCTCCGTTCATGTAGATTGACACTGATCAGCCTCGGTTGGTCGCTCGTCATTCTATAGGCGGCGTCACCTCTGCCGAGTTCTTCTCAACCTTCTTGACTTGCAGATTACCAGAGGCTGATGACGGTGGCCGAGACCATCACGGGTCTGATGTTCCCCTTCCAGTGGCAGCACGTCTATGTGCCGATCCTTCCAGCGTCCCTGCTCCACTTCCTGGATGCACCGGTGCCCTACCTGATGGGGCTGCACTCCAACGGGCTGGATGACAGGTCCAAGCTGGAGCTACCGCAGGAGGTGAGCAGCCCGTCAGCCCAAATCATCTCCATCACCTTGGATATAGGAACCCTCTCCTAAGTGTAGGCGTCCATTGCTGAACGTTCCTACTGCAAATGCTAGTTGCCTGGCTGTCATACTGATCCTCTGGCTTCAATACCAACCCAGAGCTAGTATGCAGACAAGGACTCCTAACTTTATTTTGACTTTCTTGACCTGCATGTTCGTTGTGGGTGACTCAGATTATTGATGCCAGGCAACTAGAATTTCAAGATGGCGGTCAGCAGTGGCATCCTCCCCCACACTTCTCATGTTAAACCTGTTGCATGTTCTGCCATTTCAGCGTGGAGCAGATCACGGCTGGGGGGAGGGGCCGGCAGGGTGCTGTACACGGCTTCCTGGCTACATCACGGCACCCGGCCTCAGTACTCCGCTCAAGAGCGCTCAGCCCTAATGCAAGCAGTAGGCGGGCTCTTGGGAGGAGTTATGCAAATATCAAAACACCTTGATGGGCGGGTGTCAGTCTGGAGGAGTGGGTGTTCCTGGGCAGGCTGTATTTGCATGCTGTCCACTCTAGGTAACGCCCACATGCCGAGCCTCCATGACTGGAAGAACGGAAATTAGCAAAAGGGGCGGGGCCAGGAACAGTCAGGCTGGCGAGGAAAGTGCTGGACCTCCTCCAGACAGGAAATGAGACGGCCTCTATCTGACTTCCTCCAGCTTCTAATGCACATTATGGAGAGGAGGCGGTACAACTGTGCAAGACTGAAGGGGAGGATGGAGGTCAGATAGTAGACTGAAGGGGAGGACGGAGGTCAGATAGAAGACTGAAGGGGAGGACGGAGGTCAGATAGAAGACTGAAGGGGAGGACGGAGGTCAGATAGAAGACTGAAGGGGAGGACGGAGGTCAGATAGAAGACTGAAGGGGAGGACGGAGGTCAGATAGAAGACTGAAGGGGAGGACGGAGGTCAGATAGAAGACTGAAGGGGAGGACGGAGGTCAGATAGAAGACTGAAGGGGAGGACGGAGGTCAGATAGAAGACTGAAGGGGAGGACGGAGGTCAGATAGAAGACTGAAGGGGAGGACGGAGGTCAGATAGAAGACTGAAGGGGAGGACGGAGGTCAGATAGAAGACTGAAGGGGAGGACGGAGGTCAGATAGAAGACTGAAGGGGAGGACGGAGGTCAGATAGAAGACTGAAGGGGAGGACGGAGGTCAGATAGAAGACTGAAGGGGAGGACGGAGGTCAGATAGAAGACTGAAGGGGAGGACGGAGGTCAGATAGAAGACTGAAGGGGAGGACGGAGGTCAGATAGAAGACTGAAGGGGAGGACGGAGGTCAGATAGAAGACTGAAGGGGAGGACGGAGGTCAGATAGAAGACTGAAGGGGAGGACGGAGGTCAGATAGAAGACTGAAGGGGAGGACGGAGGTCAGATAGAAGACTGAAGGGGAGGACGGAGGTCAGATAGAAGACTGAAGGGGAGGACGGAGGTCAGATAGAAGACTGAAGGGGAGGACGGAGGTCAGATAGAAGACTGAAGGGGAGGACGGAGGTCAGATAGAAGACTGAAGGGGAGGACGGAGGTCAGATAGAAGACTGAAGGGGAGGACGGAGGTCAGATAGAAGACTGAAGGGGAGGACGGAGGTCAGATAGAAGACTGAAGGGGAGGACGGAGGTCAGATAGAAGACTGAAGGGGAGGACGGAGGTCAGATAGAAGACTGAAGGGGAGGACGGAGGTCAGATAGGATTCCCAGCACTGCTGTCAGAGGCCGCTTTATATCCTGATGAAGGCCGGCTGTGTGTGGGTGCGGCAAACAAGGGATCATTGAGTTCCTAGAACAATTGGCGGGTTGTTCTGAGCTGAGGGCTCGCGGCTGATCACGGCTTGCTCAGGACAATCTGCGCTCTTGTGGTGTCACTTTCTGCACAGCAACCTCAGGAGAGCTGGACGTCATTAATCTGAAGCCGAGTATCGGGGGGCGTCACCCACAAATCATATTCAGATCCAGATGAAGAGAGAAGCAATTTGTTTGTTTTGTGTTTGAGAATTCCGTGAAAGTTACTTTATGTCCCCGATCATCAGAGCCGCCCTACGCATGCCGATCCA